CACGAAACCCTTGAATACGAGCCTGTCATCTATTTCTTCTATTTCGACATTTCGCTATTTTACATTTCTTTCATTTAACGTCATTCGCATTGTCACATTTCTCTAATTCGTTTTTGCTTCGACATTCTGCTATTTCATAATTATTTCATACTCATGTCATCCATGTTCCATTTCTTACCTTCCATTGCCGTTGGCATCGTCGAACGTGCCTGTAAAACACTGCCGCCATCATGCTTTTCAGTTTGGCAGGCACGTCCGCTGTTTGGCAGGCACGTCCGTTGTTAGAAAGAGAATAGACAAAAAGGGGCATAGGATTCCATACTTGTAAGTATATACGATGCTTGGTACGTACGGTGTCTTGATTTTCATACTTATATTCGCAATTAAATTTTATTTCACACAAAGCCGGCAACAGTTACTACTATTACAATACCATATAGTATATGCATGCACTTTTTATTATGTTTTAAATTTGTATTTTTGTTAAATTGTTATTTATCTTTAAAAAATTTCTCACACCTCCAGTTTTCTGTTTGCAATTTAGTTACATACATAAATCGTAATCATTTGCTGGCCTTCTTAGTAGAGCACCATGTGCGATTCACTTTGATTTGCAATTTGACTCAAGCATGTCTGGTAGTCATTAGCCGCCGTAGTGAGATTAGTCTTGCCGTTACCAATGATTGCGCTGACGCAGGCATGGCGCTTAACAGCTCCTAACGACTCTTCGGCTGCTATTTGCGCTTCCACTTGGCTTGCCTGAGTGTTGGCCTTATCCAGAAGATGAATGTTGTTATCGAACTGCGAAAACGAAAATAAGAACACACATTTTCGCTAATGTAAAATAAATTAATCTTATGCTTACAGATGCCGTGGTGCAATTGAGGAATTGCAACACATCAGTTATAGCCGTGCAGTTTGCCAATTGCTGCTGCACTTCTTCTAAACGCTCGCGTATGGGAGCAACATTTTGATTGACGACAGTTGTGTTGTTATCGTCCAGAGTGTGATTCGCATTCTCGAAACAGGCGTTCGTTTGACTGGTCATCCAATTGTTGATTTGTCGTGTGCTATTTTTATATTTCGTAGCGCATGTGGACTCGGCGGGAGTTAGCGTGCGTGTATCGATCAAAGCTGCACGCATTTGGGCTAACAACAGCTCAGATTCGATGTAGTTAGGTAAAGCATAGGCCTGAAAAGAGGAAGGAGATGCATGAAATTTGTTTGCAAACTTATTCGTAGAAAAGTTAGCCTAGTAAATGTAAAGGATTCTTAGTTGTAAAAAGTTCATTGAATGGCTGTTGTGAAAAAAACATCAAATGATGAGCATACAGTTTTCTTGTGGAGCCTTGGTCTCATTCTAAGTAAATCTTGTGGTTTATTGGATTTGATCGTCAATAAAGTTGATTTAGTCTTTGCATTGCGGAATCAAATGAATCGTACGTTTTACACTAAGTTAGACATAGTTTTCATTCCTAGATAGTACAAAGTACCGCGACTTCATTTAGTTCAGCGAGCCACTTAAAAGAATAATGGAGAGAAGAATGCCGACGATAATGCATTTAAATTTAATTTGTTTTCGATTCACGGCAGCTCTACGATAATAGTCGTTTGACTGCTGAATTTTTCTAATAGTGTTCGTCTCCATCCGGTAGATGAAAACTGAGGTTGAGTGAGAGCTTTTGCGAGTATAGCCCACCTACCACCTTCAGGTCTAACTTGGAGTTATCAGTGTAGATAGCTACGAAGTCCTCCTCGCTCGTTATTTCGAAATTATCTCTCAGACCAATGGTTGGGATTATGTAGTTACTCTGGGTATCTAAAGTGTGCTTGAATATCCAAACCTCGTTAAATGAAATGTCCCATCTACATCCACTTGGTTTACAGTTATCAGTAAAGGTAGCCCCCAAAAGCTTAATATTCATATATAGAGAATGTGGAGTACCTTACTTAATTCTGCAGATTACTGTACGTGATAGGATATCAATATAGAATTCATTTTATGGACTCCGTTATATGAAGTCGACGAGTTTACCAAAAGAGATTCGTCAACTAAAATGCTCTCGACAAATTACACGTTAGGAATACAAAATCTCAGCTTTAAATAGTTTGTTAAAGGTCACTCTAAGAAACTAGGCAGTGGGCACTGAAACAACCTTTGAGTCTGCGAAACTACAGGTATGCTTAGCACTCTTATAGAACGAATCTTTAGATGTGCTTAAAGAAGCAGAAAATAAATGACCTTCCTTATAAGAACTCACAGGAATCAACGCCTATTTCGCTTCCACCCCATTAGGCCAGGGGTATACGGGTAAAAGGCAAGTTTCTAAAAGGAATTTTAAAACAAAATCTTTTTTCATATAATTTTACTTCATACAAAAATGTGTAGATCTTAGACACTGACTTAAAAATTTTCGATCTCAAAATTCACATAAATATTATAGCTGTAAAACGTTGGGTCAAATTCATTATAACTACAAACATTTAAAGGTAAAACCGCTCGCTCAATTCGCCGGCCATCATTTATTTTTTGAAGTTTGTCTACTTTATAAAACTGAAATTTTCAGAGCTACGCAAATGTCAAATACGAGTAAAAAAAATAGATCAAAATATTCCAATTTGCTTTTATTTCAGACTGAAAGTGAGAATATATTTGTGAGATTGAAAATTTGAAGACATTTTTGTTATCCCTGCAAACCATTTTTTCAGAGTATTATGAATTGTAGAGAAATTTTAAAGAATTCGTAAGGATCTCATCCGATTTTTTTTCAAATTTTCTAAAATAAAATAAACTGTGTACACTTCGATTATTTTACGAAAGAAACTCGGGAAAGCAATGAAAATAAAGCCGCTATGTGAAAAATTTTCTGCAAGAAATTTTTCAGTTTGTTTTTTTATTTTTCGCATAGAAATTTCTTTACAAGCTCATGTCAACCACTTCATAAAATTTTGTTTTAAGTTTCAAAAAAAATCGTTACTGAAATGAGATACTTTGGTTTGCAGGGATGTTAGCAAACTTCAAAAATGATCAGGCTGCCTCTCAGCGGTTTTACCTTAAAATTTTTGTATCAGGGGTCAAAATGTTTTTAAAATTAAAATATTCTATAGGAATTTGAAAATGAAAATTTCTCTATGGCGTCGGATCATTGCCGTTGTTGCAGGAACAAAAAGAAAAATAATGTATGCAACATATTTTATCTGTATCATTGCCCGGCTTTAAGTAGAAAATCACTATCAAACCTGTAATTCAAGAACTTGCGATATTCTCCCAAGGTGGTAACAAGAGTTTGCACAAAATTCAAAGCTTTCAGCCTAATCTAAGTTACATATAAGTATAAACATTATTCACTACACATACGTTATAACTTCCAATATTTGATAAATACTCACGCCGAGCAAGCAAACTGCCATCAATAATGTTTGACGGAGTAATTGCATTTTTAATAGGCAAAAATTTAAGTTTTTGAAATAAATGAAAAACACTGTACACTTGTTGCCTTTTGTTGCACTCACTGTAATATAACCCGACATGGAGCAACAATTCAGTATTTATACACATATTTTTGGAATCGAGACAAAAGCTAGACAACAGTTTATAGGAAATTACAACGAAACGATTTTTGATTGCCAATGTTCGCTGATTTGATAATTAGATAAAAAACGAATACCAATGGCAGCAAAATTGATAAGACAAAATTTTGGTGCCGTTGATTACATTTGAGCATTTAAATCTAAAATTAGATGATATGGAAATTATATACAGTATTTTCTCGAATTTTCATTGACACTTAATTTAGGTACACACACATTTTGCGTCTTATTTTAGAAGGTGGCACAAAAAGTATCACCCTATTTGAAGACGCCAAAACTTTTTCAGTTAACGGTGAATATAATTGGTTTTTTTTTGAAATTTTGTGGGTGACAGTTACGAAATTTATTGTCTTATTTTGACAAATATTATGCGAAATCCCATAAAAAGAGCCGAGACTTCGACGATACCTGTCAGATATAATTTTCCAACCATGAAAAAATGAAAGACCTTGCTTTAGATAAATATATGCCGTTAAAAAAATAACAAATCTTTATAATTTTTTAAATGACACCAAAATGAAATTGGATGATACTTTTTGTAAGAAAACACTTAGTTCCAGGAATACTCTACTTTCTATTATCTTTTCTTATTGCAGCTATTTGTTTCGTTCAGATTTTTATGACATCAAACGGAACATACATAAGTATGTATACATTGTTTACACAAGCAACACTGGGTGATTTTATGACTACAAGTGACTCACTAGTTTTTATATTATGTTCAGCCCTATCATGAGTTTTATTTTCCACTAAACGGTTCACTTTACATTTTTGGTTTCCATGTATTTACTATGGGCGGATGAAAAATTTTCGGGTGAATTTTTTTTTTGAGCGAAGCTCAGGATAAAGCTGATTGTTTCCTCGCTGATGTGATGACAGGTTACAAATAGTAATAGTTTTTGTTAACTTGCTGCAGTAGTGTTTAAAACAAAAATTATCTATAAATAGTAGAGTTGGTAGCAATTAGTCTATTTTAATTGATGAATTCACTCGTTAAAGGCAACTGATGAATAGCATTACTGGTAATCTGGTAGGTTTGTTTAATTCACTGGTTCCTCACTAGCGGGTCGTATTGAATGTTCGCTCAACTGAAAAAGCTGGTGAATAATAGTCTTGTACAGTAATACAGACAGGCAGAATCCTGAGACCGGGTGGATTACTGAAATGCCCGGATTATAGATGGTGAATGACAGTATAACTAAAGATTAACAACACTAGTATTTCACATTGTTCTTTAATTGTTAGTGTTTTGTGAGCCATTTTATTAATAAATTTTTTTCAAAAATATACGCCAAATCTAATTTTATGCGCATAATATTAAAATATTAGGAGTGCCAAATACTATCGAAACTCGGCCGTTTTTTCTAGTTTTTTTATTTAAACGACACCGAAAATTTTTTTTTTCAAACATAATAATTGCAGTATCTTCCAACGCACAAAGCTTCTAACCATAAAACTTTTGCTTCGGAACTACAAAATGCCTATGACTAAACACTAAAAATTTTAATAAATTAGTTCGCCTGTGCCATACTATTTACATTCAGAAATTAAAATACCTTCGACCAATTTCTAGTTCGTTTCATATTTCAGAAACTAGAATCAATATTAACCTGGATTTCATCTTCATAGTCGTCTTGGTATTCGTCTTCGCATTTGTCTTATATTAGTTTTAGTCACCTTTTTCTCTTCGACGTCGTATTCTTCTTCGTATTCGTCTTAGTTTTAGTCGTTGTCTACGCATTCGTCTTAGTCTTCGCATTCGACTTCATATTTGCCTTGTCGTCGCATTCGTTTTCTTATTCTTCTGTTTACATATTTGTCTCTATCTTCGCTTTCGTCTTCGTTTTTATATTCGCAATCTTCTTCGTATTCGTCTTGGTAATCATCTTCATTTTTATATCTGCGTTCGTTTAATTTTAATCGCCGTTTTCGTACTCATTTTCGCATTGGTATTTCTAATCGTTTATACGTGCTAGTCGCTAGTCGTCTTCGTACTCGTATTCGTCACCATTGCTGCTATAGTAACAGCATAAAAGTTCCCTATACAGTGTATATAGGGGAAAAATGTTTAAGTGACAATCTTTGGCCAGATATAAATCTAGGTCGGTCAAGTTATGTAGAGCCGATTGTCATAGACACGAGGTCCTCTTAGTATTCATTTTCATTTTCATATTCAAAAACAAAAAAATACGAAGGAAAATAAATTGCAAAAAAACAATACACTGTTATATTGCTTACCAAACCCCACTCATATTCACCAGCTTGCAAAAACTACTTTACAAAAATACGCATAATAGGGTAAAAAATGTCAAATTGTCTGGTTTAAAACAGTGCCCAGATTAGCAAGATAGCACTGCAGGTGGAAATCGATTACTGCTAATGACATCCCCATAATAAATTCATGTGTGAATTAGATCGCTGGTAATCTGGCGATAGCGAGTGAATGCGCTAATATCTCACTAATGCGCGGAACTAGAGTGTATTTTCGTCCACACTTTCTGGATCTGAAGGTTTTAACTAACTTTTAGCTAAAATTTACCAAAGCACTTCATTTTATACTATTTTTACTATGTCTTGATATTGGTAAAAAAATTTCCATTA